TATCTTTAGAGATTAAAACAAAACCATATAGATATGCCGAAATAAGACCAGTAGGTCTAAGTGAACATATGACCGGATGCTTACATAATTATTTTTGAGAATATGTTTATTATTATGTCTTCTATCAATAAGCGCCTATGAGTATGTCGCAAAGTACAGTCTGTTGGAATAAAGCTCCTGGGATTTGGCATGGCATATGCAAAATGAACAGAACCCATAACATTAACAAGTTTGTTCATTATTAATGTTAACAATAAATGAAGCGTGGTTTTCCAAAACTCGGTAAGTCAAGTTTGACAAGCGTCTGATTTCACCACGATGCCTCACACGTTTATAACATAAACATGACCAAATTATGTATTATTATGTGCACATAAGTATATAATGATTTAGATTTTAATAATGCTAGCGTCCGGGATAGGGAACTTTCGGCTGTGAACTGTGCATATGGCTGTTTTAGACTGTGTATGTGTGTGGCATCGTGGTAAAACCAGGCGCTTGTCAAAATTGACTTACTGAGTTTTGGAAAACCACTGTACTGACTCTAGTGACTGTAGTGTCTTTAGGCCATTCCCAAAGAGTGGGGGCGGGGACATTTCTCGTTCAAGCACAGTAGAATTGTAAATGGGCTGATTCATGTCACGCTCATAACTGTGCCTGATCTAGAACAGGGAACTGCTGCTTTTTCTTTCCTAATCCTTACTATCGTCATTTTCCTCTACTTCTTTTGTATGTTTGTTACTCTCTTGTGACCTGCTATATTTCGGGGTGGCTTGATAGTCAAAGCAGACTTTGTGCTGTTGAAGCTAGAGAGGTGAGCAGAATAAGTCTGATTCCCTATAAAAACTTCTCTGTGGACACCCACCCCTTGGCGCTCATATGACCATAATATGCAGTTGCGAGCGCCGCAAAACCCTCTACTATATTTTAAAAAATATATATATGTTAAAAGAGACAACGAAGTTGGAGTCCCCGAGACTACATACTTTTTATTGGCCTCTAAGGACAGCCTCGGGCCTGGCTGGGAAGGGGTTCAGTTAGGAAAAGAAAGAAATGCAGATGGAATTTACAGAAAAAACAAACAACTGGAACTTAATTGTAAAGTGGTTGAACTTTTGTTTATTTGTTTGTTTGTTTGTTTGGATTCTGCCTCTTGGCATAATTCTCGTACCAACGATCTGTCTATCTCCACCTCCCCATTCAAACAATCTGTCTATCTATACCTCCCCGTTCAAACGTTCTGTCTATCTATACCTCCCCGTTCAAATGTTCTGTCTATCTCCACCTCCCCGTTCAAACGTTCTGTCTATCTATACCTCCCCGTTCAAACGTTCTGTCTATCTATACCTCCCCGTTCAAACGTTCTGTCTATCTATACCTCCCCGTTCAAACGTTCTGTCTATCTATACCTCCCCGTTCAAACGTTCTGTCTATCTATACCTCCCCGTTCAAACGTTCTGTCTATCTATACCTCCCCGTTCAAACGTTCTGTCTCTGTTGGTGATTGACGGCTGCTCTGGTATGGTTTGCTTCTTCTTTCCTATCAAACTTCTATCGTCCTTATCTCCCCCCCCCCTTTTTTTTAAATTTGTTGCTCTCTTGTAACACCTCTAATCTTCGGCACGCATATGACATATGACCTTATTGTGTTGCTAGTGCCCTAAAACACTTACCAAAACTAAACTAAAACTGTCTGTCTCAACCTCCCCGTTCAAACGTTCTGTCTATCTCACTGATTGACGGGTGCTCTGGTGTGGTTTGCTTCTTCTTTCCTATCAAACATCTATAGTCTTTATCTCAACACCTCTAATCGTCTGGCGCTCATATATGACCTTATTGTGTTGCAAGTGCCCTAAAACACTTACCAAAACTAAACTAAAACTGTCTATCTCAACCTTCCCGTTCCAACGGTCTGCCTATCTCCACCTCCCCGTTCAAACGTTCTGTCTATCTATACCTCCTCGTACAAACGTTCTGTCTATCTATACCTCCCCGTTCAAACGTTCTGTCTATCTATACCTCCCCGTTCAAACGTTCTGTCTATCTATACCTATACCTCCCCGTTCAAACGTTCTGTCTATCTCCACCTCCCCGCCGCTTCCAGAAGCCACCGTCTGCTCACTCCCATGTTGTCCAACAAATCGTAAATTCGTCACATTCTGGACCGGGGTTGGGTGAGCAATGCACGAGCGACGTAAAACGAAAACGTGCTATCTCAAGACTAGTGTTTGTCCGCGCGTGTCGTAGTTTACCTGTGAGTGGCCCCGCACCCGCCCTCACGCGCGCTCCTGTGAGGTGAGTAGTGAGCTCTTCCCCCATCCCAAACAACGCCTGACTCACAGCCGTGAGTGAATCCTCTCAGACTCAGAGGTGTTGGAGGGAGGGCTGGGCAATGAGTCGCTTTAGCAAAATCCGGATACTATCTTAGTGCACCTCTTCGGCAAATAATATGATATGAACCGCTTCGGCAAATGGGTTAGAACCACTTCGACTAGCGGGTAGCATCACTTCAACAAATGGGTGCACACATTTCGGCAAACGGGTCAGGAAGAAAGAGAGTTTAAGAGTCTGAATTCGGATAATGTTTCATTGAGAATTGTCCGGTTATCCTATAGAATATCCGGATTTTGCCCACCTCTAGTTGGAGGGGAGTGCTCCCTGGCTATTTTTATCTCCGGAACCCCAGCCCACCTGAGACCTTGACTGATATATTTTTGAAAAATGATAGATATATATATAACGGAGTGCCATTGGCTGAGACGTTGTCTGATAGGTATATATAGCAGAGCGCCATTGGCTGAGAGCAACCATTCAGTTGTTGGCCTGCCTGTGAGCACAGAGAGAAGAGATAGGACAGACGACTGCAAAACGTGAAGTCTTCAAGTTGCACACCTCGAGAGAAGAAGAAAAAGAAGAAGAAGAAGAAGAAGAAGAAGAAGAAGAAGAAGAAGAAGAAGATAACAGCTGAGGATTCTGAACAAGAGATACCGAACAAGCTTCACCAAAACCTTTCTCGGAAAGTATCTCAAGTTTACGACGCTACTACCACCAGCAGCCGGCCGGCCAGTTATTGAGACCTTTGACCCTTGAGGCTCTGTGTAGAAAGTTAAACTGTCCATCCGTTGACCTTGTGGAAGAAGTGGTGAATCAGCGCCAGCTCCGTCCAGAAAGTTAAACTGTCCATCAGTTGACCGTGTAGAACAAGTCGTGAATCAGCGCCAGGATGCCCGTGTCGTGTTGTGCCCCCGTTTGTCTGCCCGCCACATGCTCCTGTGGCAGGATCCTCATCGACCCTGAGTGAGTGACCACACCTCATTAACATATTCATGATACATGTCACAAAATTAGCATAATACTGACGTCATCAGCATAATTAGCATGACACGTCATCAAGATCTGTGATGATCCGAGTGCCTCATTGTTTCCAGACTTTCAGTGTGAAGTTCAGAGTCTATAGTCGCTTTTAAGCACAAGGGGGCTATCCCGAAAAATTCTTTTTTGAGAAAATCGAAGGTTAAGTTTTTGCCCCCTGTTCAGTTTCTTTAAAAGACAAGGAGAATTGTCTCTATAACCAAACAAATATACACACCAATGAAACCAAACTTCTCCAATAGATATGGTCCACTTTTGGTGATTTTTGGAAACCTCTGAAACCTGGGTAAGCCCGCTTGTCCGCTATTATATATTTATATAATACATGTAGTGAAAGTCCGTCACTTTGGTCGCCTAAAACTTCCGAACTACTGAACTTTCGAATTTGAAAATGTTAGCCGTGGTTCAAAATCAATTAAAGGGTGCACAGTTATGATTAGGAACATGAAGTCACTGTAGCTTAATTTTCAGTTTTTCATTAGTTCCGTTTCGATCTAAACTTGGGAAAGTCTGTCTTCTAAGATGACATTGTAAACGAGTGAGGCTGTATAAAATATAATAAAATTATGATCACATCGCCTTCAAACATTGTAGGGATGATGTGGATAGCTTTTTAAAAAAATAAATCTAACGAGTAAGAATTTCAGTCTAACAACAGATGTAATTCCGGTAGACCTTGATAAAGAACACAGCCACATTGTTAATTTGGTTAAATTTTGCAATTCATTAAAGATGCAATGCTCTTAAAAATGCAATTTCTGACGTAAGTGGATACACTTTGAAGAAACTTTACGATGTAGTCTGCAAGGACTGTACATGGATATTGGAAGATTCCTCATATTCCCACGTGAGGCACCTGGCCCTCATCTGCCTGCAACAGTTGGAACCTTGTCGTCACGGTGGCTTGAAATAGCCCAGTTTTAAACTTGTGGAAGTTGTTGATTTTTTAAAAACTGTTTAAAAAATAACACATTTTAAACCTGTGATGAACAGAGCGTACCGTAGACAGAATCTAAAGTTGAAAAGGCTCCTGGAGCAAAACGTAACTGAAATCAAAGGTGATTCCTGCAAATGCAACACAGTGGACTATGAGTCAGTGTATTTATTAACGTCAGACTATGAGTCAGTGTATTTATTCACGTCAGACTGCACGATGATCTTTACAGTGCAAGCAAAAATTCGTGGCGCAACTTGTCCTCAAATATCTCTTTAACGAATGAATCAATGTCTCCTAAACTTTGTACAGCAGTTTGTATCAATAATTATTTATTTTAACCGTCTCGGTATTTAATTTACGGTCTCTGGGCGGGGCTAGCAAGATTGAGGGCGAAAAGCGACCACCGTGACACAAGCCGAACGAAGCCGACGGTCACCCTAAAAAACAAACACGTTTGTTCCCAAGTCCGCGAGTCGGACGATCGGTTTGTGTTAACCCTTTCTGTACGTCGTGTTAACCCTTTCTGTACGTCGTGTTAACCCTTTCTGTACGTCGTGTTAACCCTTTCTGTACGTCGTGTTAACCCTTTCTGTACGTCGTGTTAACCCTTTCTGTACGTCGTGTTAACCCTTTCTGTACGCCGTGTTAACCCTATCCGTACGTCGTGTTAACCCTATCCGTACGTCGTGTTAACCCTATCCGTACGTCGTGTTAACCCTATCCACACGTCGTGTTAACCCTATCCACACGTCGTGTTAACCCTATCCACACGTCGTGTTAACCCTATCCGTACGTCGTGTTAACCCTATCCGTACGTCGTGTTAACCCTATCCGTACGTCGTGTTTTACCATCGTATCCATACGACGTGGGGAACTCTGTGCCACCCCTTAACCCTATCCACACGTCGTGTTTTACTATCGTATCCATATGCCGTGGGGAACTCTGTGCCACCACTTTCCAAAGAGGAAATTTACTCGTTAATCCGACCGTACGTTTTGCACAGCAGTCTGTCAAAATGATTTTTGAGAAATACTGAAAGTTTCAAAGAGATCTTCGCGCTAGAAGTATTCTAAAATGTGAAGAATACAACCCCGGGGGTACAAAATGACCCCAGGGCGTACGGACAGGATAAACATCGCCATCTGTCGGTTGTCTTTAGATGAACGCGTTGAACATGTTGTCAGTTGAACATACTGTCAGTTGAACATACTGTCAGTTGAACATGCTGTCAGTTGAACATACTGTCAGTTGAACATGCTGTCAGTTGAACATACTGTCAGTTGAACATGCTGTCAGTACCACTTTAACCTCGCCATCTGTCGTTGAACATGCACTGGGTCGCTGTCTGATGCCCTGACGGCCGGCTAGTGAGCTGTTGTACGGCATTGTACGCTTTGTGAGGGGGGAGGGGGCACATTTCTGACACCGGTGTGGTAGAGAGAGTACAGCGACAGCGTCACTCGACTGTGGGGTTGTAAAGCGGAGGTCATAGATTTATACTTTATACTGTTTCATAGATTTATACTGATTCATAGATTTATACTGGTTCATAGATGTATACTGGTTCATAGATGTATACTGGTGCATAGATTTATACTGGTTCATAGATTTATATAGGTCCATAGTTCATAGATGTATACTGGTTCATAGATGTATACTGGTTCATAGACCCATACAGGTAAACCACACATTGTGATAGACCTATACAGGGTGGGTGATTGGTGGGTGCTCTTGTGTGGTTTGCTCCTTCTTTCCTGTCAAACATCTATCGTCCTTATCTCCCCTCCTTCTTTTTTTTATGTTTGTTACTCTCTTGTAACACCTCTAATCTTATGGCGCTCCGGCATGAACCACATATAACACGTCTCTTTTTGCCTTCTTTTTCATAATACACGACCCCCCCCCCCCCACCCCACCCCCCGGGGCAATGCCACTGACTGTAGTGTCTGTAGGCCATTCCCAAACTTGGGACATTTCTCGTTCAAGCACAGTAGAATTGTAAATGGGCTGATTCATGTCACGCTCATAACTGTGCCTGATCTACAACAGGGAACTGTTGTTTTTTCTTTCCTGATCCTTACTATGGTCATTTTCCTCTTCTTCTTTTGTATGTTTGTCACTCTCTTGTGGCCTGCTTTTTCCGGGGTGCCTTGATAGTCAAAGCAGACCTTGTGCTGTTGAAGCTAGAGAGGTGAGCAGAGTAAGTCTGATTCCCTGTAAAGACTTCTCTGTTGACACCCACCTTTTGGCGCTCATATGACCTTTTGCAGTTGCGAGCGCCGTAAAACCTCTGCTATATTTTTTTTTAAAATAATACCCGAACCTACTAACAACACAATAATATGACCCTATTTATCTGTTGACCTTTGGGGTACGTGTGGCGGGCATCGACGTCACAGCAACCGTCACTCGAAAACTGTCTGTCTGTCTGTCTGCCAGTCTGTCTGTCTGCCTGTCTGCCTGTCTGTTTGTCTGTCTGCCTGTCTGTTTGTCTGTCTGTCTGTCTGTTTGTCTGTCTGTCTGTCTGTCTGTCTGTCTGTCTGTCTGTCTGCCTGTCTGTTTGTCTGTCTGTCTGTCTGTTTGTCTGTCTGTCTGTCTGTCTGTCTGTCTGTCTGTCTGCCTGTCTGTTTGTCTGTCTGTCTGTCTGTCTGTCTGTCTGTCTGTCTGTCTGTCTGTCTGCCTGTCTGTCTGCCTGTCTGTCTGTCTGTCTGTCTGTCTGTCTGTCTTTCTGCCTGTCTGTCTGTCTGTGTCCTGAAAAGACACATTTGCCCTACCTACCTAACCTCTAAGGACACGTTTACCCTCACAGGGACCAGGCACTGGACATCTTCAGCAAGTACCAGTCCAGCTTTGCCAGAAGGCTCAAGAAACCGGAAGCTATGAATATGCTAATGACCGAGTTCAACCTGAACGAGACGGAGGCTCTGATCATGTTCCAAGCCTTCGACAAAGACCACAATGACGTGCTCAGCCTCTGGGAGTTCCGCCAGTTTTACCAAACCATTGGGGCAAAGTAAGTTCTTCCCACCCCAC